ACTAAAATAAAGCAGTCTGTCTTATTTGTAGACTCTCAAAGTGCTGTTACCGCAATATGCTCTTTGAGAGTTACTAAGAATATGCTGGTGCAGCGACTACAAAGTGAACTTAATAAAGCTGTACATGGAGGCCTTGATATAAAATTTTGTTGGGTGCCCAGTCATATGAGAATAAAAGGACATGAGGAAGCAGACAGACTCGCTACATCCTCGGGTAATATTCCCTCATCTCACGCCCGTTTGCCACACCAATACATCAAACCTTTAACAAAGTCATCCCTTTTTCGTTTATTGCAGTCTGAACGGAACATGGTGTGCAACAATAAACTTTATATTACAAAGCCGGTTCGTGGGCTATGGGAGAGCCCTTCTCACAGGAACCGATTCCATGAAGTATTGTTGTGTCGTCTTCGAATCGGTCATTCTTACATATCGCACAAATACCTTCTTAGGGGAGAGGACCCACCGGTGTTTGAACATTGTGGGGATACACTTACCATTATGCAAGACCTGCCATGTTCTTTTCTACTTGAGGCCTTTTTGGAGGCGTATGAGATGTGAACTGTACAGCCGTCATTTTATGACAGCCATGCCGTGATGATCCCTAAATGTCAAGACCCAGACAAGCTAGTATGCACTAAAAGCTATCAACCAATTAGTTTATGCAATGTTGATTGCGAGATTTTCCCTAAAAGTTTACCAAAACGACCACGGTCTGTTGCGTCACTTGTTGTTGGAGACAATCAGACGTGTGGAATTAGGGGAGACGTATACAAACAAACATCCACGTTGCGCGTACGGTGATAGAAAGCTGCGTTCTTCATGCTGGTCAAATCACCATGGTTCAAGTAGATTTGGCTAAGGCTTTTGATCGCGTGCTCTACGCTTCCTTGATGGTCATATTACGTCATGTAAACCCAGGACCAACACCTGCAAAGGGTATTAAGTTATGTTACCGTAATTGCACCACCAGGCGTATAGTTAAAGGTTCACTTTCAAGTCGAATTCATCTAGAATCGTCCGTGAAACGAGGATGTCCGTTATCCCCTCTTTTATCTTTCGCTTTATTTAGAACCGCTTTAAGTGTACGTAACAGCCCTATCGTTTAAGGTTCTTGTTTCTACTCTACTGAAGTTAAAGTATTGGCATAGGCAGGTGATATAGCTTTCTTTTGTGCCAATAAACGCAGCGTGGATAATGTCCTTACGATAACACAAAACTTCTGTGACGTGACCGGCGCACTGGTTAATAAGGAAAAAAGCGTAGGTGTCTGGTGTGGGCAACTGGTCACAACACCTTCAGAGTATGCTGGAATATCGTGGAGCTGCATTGCTCTTCATTACTTATACTCTCATTCATACTTAGCGTGCAACGCTGTCAAAGCTACTAGCTGGCGCGAGCTTGGGGCTTGATCTCGTTGACCATTTGCACGCGTTCTCGCGCAAACAAAACCATCGGTGAAGCCACGCGCTCGCGCCAGTAGCGTTGATAGCGTTGCACGCCAAGTATGAAACAGAGTAGGAGTTCCTCCTCACTGTATTCGCAACAATGGCCATTACTGGACTGAACGGGTGTCAAAAATCAAATGCCAAGCTGGCAAGTTGAAATCCAACCAGTAGTTAGTTTTCGAGCGAGCTAAGGCCTGTAATATGTTTCTCGCAGCCAAACTTTGGTATATACTTCAAGTGGTTTGCTGTGCCAAAAGCCATATTAAAAAAAAAAAAATGAAAGACGTTTACAATCGTCTGTAACGCCGAATTAGAGCGCGGCTCTTGAGGAGGAGGAGGAGAAGGTACGGAGAGGAGGGTATGCCGGCCCCTCCTCCTCATTTGTATCCTTCCCTCCTCCTCTCCTGCTCGCCTCCCATTTAGCGGGAAATTTTCGCTAATTTTCCCGCTAAATTTAGCGAGGACAATTTCCCGCTAAATTTAGCGGGGAATTCTTTCCGCTAAACTTAGCGGGGAATTGTTTTCTGCTAAATTTAGTGGGGAACTTTTTACTCCAAATTTAGCGGGGAAATTTCTTATAATACAACGCGCGGTGACGTCACGAGTGACGTCAATGATGACCCTCGTAACGTCACGTGTGACGTAATCATGGGGAATGTCACATAATGCACCGCGCGGTTACGCTGACGCCGCTCAAGCCGGAAACGGGCACCAAAGAGCTGCGCTCTAAAAATTCCACGTAGTGTTTGATACTTTTATATGGAGTTCTACTTGGGAACCTTTACTATGTGAGAACCTCTTTCGCTCCATCGATGTCGGCGGTCTCGGCCTCACACATCTTTCTAAGGTAAGTAATATCTCGGTTTTTGTTCTTCAGAACTGCATCGCATCATTTCCCTCGTACTTACTTACAGACGGGACTCTCGAGTAAATTGCATTATTTGGTTGCTACGACGATACCCGAAAGCACATCACGTCCTTCGAAGTACCTCAAAGAAGTTGGGAGGGCAATTAAGTTTCTGACAGCTCGTTTTTTTTTTTTTTTTTTTTTTTTTTGTATTTATTTACGGTTTTACGCAAAGTCATATATGTTGATCTGATTGACATAACGTTCCGTGCACCTTTGTACGGAAGCATATATCGTGAAGGCCCTCAAAAAATGTCTTCAGACTTCCCCGAAAACTACGTGTCCAGCCTACAGCAAAGTCATTCCTTTTTAAGCTCCATACTTCTACGTTATCTGTGAAACCCTGACTCCGTGAACGTGGAATTTTCGTGCCATGGTCAATCAATTGCCGCCTTTGTAACCAACCGGAAACTATAGAGCATTGTTTTATTTTCTGCGCTGATGCTTACCTTTTCTGGGATGTCCTACAAAGGATACTGAAGAAAGATTGGAATATCAATGCTTACACAATCCGATTTTTGCCTTTAAAATTGATCGATAGTTTTCTTACGATCTATATACTTCACCCATGTTTGTGCGTCACACAGTAGACCGCTAGGTTGTTTGTGGGCACTGGCAATTAAACCATTATTATTATTATTTAAGTTGGTGGGGTTGCATACCTGTGGAAAACAAGAATGATTGACAGGAATGCTGACCCTCCCCGATCTCTTAAATCAAATTTCATTGAAACAGTATCTCAGGTACGAAATGTACCTAACCGCCTTGTCGAGCGGCGAGAGTGGTATGTTCTTCTTGATCGATGCATATATCTACCTGACTTTTAGTATGTGCATTTTTGTTTTTATTTAATATTCCTTTCTGTTCCATTTGTCTATTTACGACGACGAGTCTCTGAGAGCATTAGATACAAAATTATATGTAATAGGAATTGTTACGTGATGACCTTCCCATGTTGTAGCCTTGAGTGTTGTCTTAGTAATATGAAAGCCGTTTAAAAATCCCTGTAACACCGGTTAGAGCGCAGCTTTTGAGAAGGAGGATGGAAGCGCACTGAGGGATAGGTGACTCCTTCAGGTCACGTGACCTCAGGGAGTCACCTGTCACGTGATCTCGGGGAGGGGGCCACGTGATCAGAGGTGCACCACGTGACCGCGGTGGGGTCACGTGACCTTGGGGAGTCATGTGGCCTCAGGGGGTCACGTGGCCTCAGAGGGGTCATGTGACCTCAGGGGGTCACGTGACCTCAGGGGGTCACGTGACCGCGTGACCTGGGGGGGGGGGGGGTCACGTGACCTCGCGGTTACGCCGACGGCGGCGCCACTCAAACCGGAAACGGGCCCCTAAGAGCTGCGCTCTAAAAGTTCTGAAGACACCTAAGCACTTACGAGTTGTGAATGCGAAAGCATAAATGTCGTTTTTCCGCTCCCTTAGTTCATCTTCAATATACTGGCGTGGACGGCCACGTTTCGCTGCTGCCGAGGTTGCGGCCGCCGATGTTGTAGATGCCTCAGGCGGCGCCACGTTCGTCGGCGCCGCCTGAGCAGCTGAAACAGGGGCAAAGAAAGCACTGCCAAAGCCAACGCACGAGCTGAACGGGACTCTTGCCCTTAAGACACTCGCGCGCCCCAGCCTTTGCAGTGTTTTCTTTCACCGAGTCTCAGCTGAGACGCTGTTCTAGAAAACCGGCCCAAAAGCGACCGCAGCCTTCCCTTCCTCTTCGACAACGCCCGACACGAGAGCGGCGGCCGAGCGCACTCTCATGAAGCAGGCGCCAATGGCTATCGAGGAGCCGTTTTTCTCAGCCAATGGGAGAATGGGCATTTGTTTCGTGTTTTCCTTTTTCCGGTTACAGACGCCGCCGGCTCCGATCCACGGAATAGCTAATACGATAATGCTTTCGCATAAAAAAAAAAAAAGTTTTTGTGGGTAGCGTTTCTGGTTCGCAAACGAAGGATCGTGGGTTGGGTCCGCCTCCGCCAAAAATTCTTCGAATTTTTTTCTTTGAGGCTAATGACTTACTTATGGAACAATCGGGATTTTCCCAGCCAGCCGATTCCAACTTTTCTGCACAACGAGCTCCTTAAAGCTATTCCTTTAATATGCATACAGCTCTCGAAAGAAGAGGTCACTTTCGACGTTCATCTGCTAATCAGTTTCACAGGTGCACCTTGCGGCAGGAGCGTCGGAACGTGTTCTAGAAGGGTTCGAACACACATAGTTTTATGTTCTAGTTTAACAATAAGTAACATTGAACATACACCTATAAACGTATGATCTGCTCGGCATTCATGCATTGCCGGAAGAATACCAGTCCGTAAGTCGTGGTTTTTTCGTGAGGCAGCCTGCGAAGCCCGAAATACATTGAAATGAGCGGTTGGACTGGGAAAGTCACGTATTGCTCTGAGGCAAACCAACACCAAATAAAGCTTATTGTTGGGCAATACTCACGTGTGGATGGAATGGCCGAGGTTCCGGGACACTCACCTGCAACACCTTCTTGTTGGCGCTTTGTGTAACTTGCCGATTCAGTTATTTCGCGTGGATTACTCATAAATGATCTTATTCTAGAAATACACTAGGATTGCGCCGCGAGAACAAATAAGAAGTATTAGCACAATCAGACACGCACACAGACACCGTCAAACTGATAACTGTATACGTTTTATTTTACATTTCTATGTTTCCGCGAAATGTTACTTAGTCTAACACTTATATTCCACCTCCGCGGCTCCGAATTTGGGTTCCCTTAGGAACAGATTCGCCGGAACAAGGTTCGCCCCCCAAGTAAACAAAAAGACATCGTACGAAAACTGACACTTTTCTGATTACAAAAGTCAGTTTCAAAGTCTGGCAACGTGTAAATCTGAGCTCTCCCGTTTGACCCTGATTATTGTCCACACGCAGCAGTTTCACTCACCACCAGGTGCTCGAAAATGGCAAGCCTGCACAGTCATAAATACTGGAATCGCTCGGGGATTCTACCGAGTACCGCAGCATCTCCCTTTCCATCCACACGAGTGTTTGGGGCATTTTCCACCAAGACGCTTCAAAGCTACACTTTAAAAAAAAAAAAAAAAAGCTTTGAGTTCTTTTTTTAGTGCAACTCGGACACAGCCGATGACGGCGAAAAATTAAAAAAATTCCAACAAGAAAAAAAAAAAAAGAAAAACTCGATATACGACAAAAAAAAATCTGATGGGTAGATGGATGCTAACGGCTGTACTTTTTATAACGGGCGGTAACATGCGCCACCTAGCGCAGGGACGATGGCTATAAACATCTTTAAAACCTAAGCCGGAGGCTACAAAAAGGGGACAAACACAACACGTTGAATAGTTCATTGTTTCTACACACATTGCATACTTTTTTTTAATCGAATTGTATATTGAGTTTCGTCATTTGCTGGAATCTTTTCATTGCGCGCCGGGAGTGGCTGTCTCCTTGACCCGCAGAAAAACGAACTCACGTCCTTTTTTTTTTGTTTGTTTTGAGTGTGGGATTAATGGCGTAATGAGGAGAATGCGTCGTGTACGCGTGCTACAGCCATTTCTACTCCTAACCGCGCCACCAGCAAGTCGCCGTCAAGTATTGCCGAGAAGTTCTATGTAAAAGCGAAGTGTCATTAACTAGTTCGTGATGCTAGCGAGTTTTTGAACGAGGCTCAAGATTACATGGAATAAACATGCGCTAATTTGGTCGTGTTGAGCGCTCCTAAACCAGAAGACAAGAAATATTTGCGTTGAAAGTGCTTGGTGAAATTTTTGGGACGTTGTGCGTTTCTGCTGTTGGTTCTAGATTTCGTTTAGTCGCCGCTCGAAAGCTGTTTATGAAACATAGGAGGACACTATCGGACGTACCGGCTACACCGCTCAGAAATGATATGGGGGACACGTTTTTTTTTTTACACCTCCTATAACAAACCCTTTCATCACATTACATGTCATGACGTCATAACGATCCCGTATTGTTGAGAGCGCCGTATAAAATGGCGTGTTACAGGCATATCGTACTTAACATTTGATCAAACCCGCGACGTTTGTTCACATTCCTCAATCAGCACTCAGGACTTTGCAATCTGCTAGTATTCGTTTACACGCTGATGGAGATATGGCGAACGGGACTGCTTGACGTTCCTAGTGAAAACAACCCGTCACATCACGAGACGCTTGACGTCACGAGTTGTTAAAAGTTAGGCAAAGCGCCAGCTTACGCGGTTCCCCAGGAAGCAGGTTCGAATACCGGCCGAGGCATCAGCAATCTGACAGAGGCCTGTTGAGGGAGAATACGCCCTGTAATCGACATTTCGCTTGCAACTGTAAAGATTTCCAAGTGGTCAAAACGAATCCACAGTCCTCCGCTGGGGCGTGCCAGATGCCCTTCGTTGGTTTGGAGCGTAAAAATAGAACCCAGCATGATTCGAATTGGTGTCATCCCGTATTCAAAACATATCCCGCATCCACAAACTCTCTATCCCAGGAAGTGCCGGTATAAGGTCCGATTGCGGTACTCCGAAGATTCCCAAGCGATTCCAGCGAATACAAATCGTTCACGTCTGTCCCTAATAACTACCAGAAGTATGGATATCCGACTGCAGGATTCGGCGGCAGCAGTCACAGCTCTTGCACCCCGATGATATCGCTAATTCCCCGTCCCCACCAGTACCATCGCTACGATAGGTGTGTACCACCGCCACAAAGACGCACGACGCCATAGCTACGACGCAGCAGTTCCGACTGTTCGTGTCCAGAGAGTCGGAGGTGCGGCAAAGGCTTGTCGGCCAGGCGGGTGCATGCCGTGGCAGATGTGGTCCCACCGCGCCATGACTCGGCGGAATTTATAGATGTCAACCAGGGCCCACCGGGCCGTGCACCACTTAGGTCGAGACGCCATCATGCTTTCGGTTGTTGGATGGAGCACGCCAGAAATCGCTGGATCGCCCTCTGGGCGTCCTCGGGCAAGGGCCTGCGTGAAATCAGAACATGTACGCGCTATTGAAATAAAGAAACTAAATACAATACCTTTACTCGTTGCTCACTTACACAGTAACGAAGTACTTTACTGTTTGGATTCAAAAGGAGCGCTTACTTCAGCTTGAAAGCGTTATTTTCTTGCTACTCTGAATGCGTCATTTTTTCACGTAGATACGTACTTTCTCTGCGCTTGGAAGAGGGTGCAAAGTTGGAAGTTCGATGTCACGAAAACTTGGTCACGGAAGTGACATCAAACATTTAACGCCGGAGCGCCGACCGAATTAAAGTCCATAATAGATAAGAGCTTCGTACAAGTAGCGACATTCTTCGAAGCGGCGACTGCGTAGCGGTGCAGGTTTTAGGAAGCGAATGGCGGCGCACAGTACAGGTTTGAACTGGATGCCGCCATTTTGTTCCAGCGGAATGTGCTTTGTCATTTGTATTGGTCGGGTTGTCATTACTTGTAAAAGAAGTAACAAGGGACTTTAAACCGAATCGCATCGCCGCGCTCCCTGACAGCGGCCCGCCTGCTGCCGACAACCGCGTAGTTCGCACGCGCGTCTTTTCTTATCTGCTGGCTTGTTCGTTTGCTGGCTTCGACGCGGCGCACTCCCGTCTGGTTGAAACGGCGATAGACGCTGCCCCGGCAGCCGTGATTCCGGAATCTTCTCTCATCGCTGTGGACAGCAGCCGAGCGGCCGAGCTCGCGTGCTCTGCGGCACGGGGCAGTTCACGGGACTCTCGCGCGCGACTCGGCGAAGCGTTAAAAACAACCGCACGCATTTCCGCATATACGCCTCAGAGATGGCGGCGCGGGGAAAGGGGGGGGGGGCTGCACATTTGCTTCTGCCGGATATCGAGCCACGGGGATTCGCTTATTGCGCACCCGACATTGTCATGTGGCAGGAGCCCGCAAACGTTTCTTCAGCTGCAGCCGTAGTTCTACGGAAATTTAAGCAGCATAATGATCCTATCCACCATCCAATTTTATGAAACAGTCTTTCAATATTTGACATAGTTAATAATTCCTCACTTTCAACGCGATCATTTAAGGAGAACTGTGGCTATATTGACTAACCTTGTACACATCCTTTTATGGGCCATCTAGCGTTTTTTCCCCATGCAAATTACAGGCGCCAACTGCGATGAGAACTTGGCTTGATACTTGTACTGTATAGATGTTCTCATCCAAAATTAACTAAACACCGTTATTTGCTACATTATCAGTAAGTAACTAAAGTGGAAATGTTAGGTTCACAAACTCATAGTTTGTTTTTATTTTAAGGTCCTTTTTTAAAATTGATAGCGTACCAATAGTTGGGTCAATGAGAGCCTAGTTTAATATTAACGTCTTTCCCACGCTAGCACGACTTGGCCACTCGTAATCTGACGCCTGCTATAGAGCAACTTATAGCCAGGTCTAATTGAATCCAGTTCGTCCAGTCTACGAAGACTTTTTCAACTGGCCCCAAATTGAGTCCCGTTAAACTGCGAGCCATTTTCTTTGTCACATAAGTATATCGAATACTACCCTGTCACAATTCTAAAAAAAAGAGAGAGAAAAAAAATAACAGATGTGCGCTACATTAGGTGAGCATCATCCCCATCATCATTACCTCTTCCTAGCGTTAATATCGATTATGAACGTGCAGCATAACACGCGCGTCCTTCCAAACAAAAATAACGATCTGAAACGGCCTTTATTTTTTAACCTGCGACCGCCCGAAAGGTTGCTCATTGGCGAGGAGATCGAACTATATATAGCTTGCAAGTGTCGTCATTGCTGACACTTGTTGTTTGTTTCCGTTGTTTCTATTGTTTCCGACAAATAATACATGCTGTCGTTGTACAGACGGGTTTAGTTTTCAGCTAGGCTGTTAAGGGCGCGACGGTTGGATACCCTCCCTTAAAAGCCACCGAGCGTTGGATTACATTTCTCATGGTGCCAAGCGGCCTTTCTGCCATCCAGAGTTTAGGAATGGCAGTCACCCCAGCGATGAGTTCGGCTCGAGCGATAATGCAGCTTGCCAGCTGGTAAGCAAACGTGGACGAGAGGAGATGGAACGAAGCTCACTTGAGAAGCTTGTACATCACTTCGATTATCCTAGGGACCACGATCAGGGCCTCTTCTCGCAGGATGGCGTCCACGATGACGGAAGCCACCGATTTCGTGTCCATGATCGGCGTTAGCACGGGGAACCTGGGACGGACAAGAACCTGTTAGTGTCAGCAATACCAGTTAGTGTCAACGACGCCACTTATTGTCGGCGATACGGCACATATTGTCTGCAATACCACTTATTGTCAACAATACGGCACATGGTGTGGGCAGTACCAGTTTGTGTGAGCACTAACTGGTGTGGGCAGCTGGGCAACACGCAGTTTGTGTGAGCAATACGGCACATAGTGTCAGTTATATTAGTTAGTGTCAACAGTATACCAGTCAGAAACACCAGTTAGATCCAGCAATACGACTCATAGAGCGTGAACGTTGTCACATGACTACGGAGTAGATAGAAAAATGCGCGAGACACGACGGTCGGAACGTTTGCTCAGTTCTAAAATTCAGCGTTAAAGTAAAAAAAAAATATATATATATATAAATCTGTCACACACTAAGTCATGGTGTAATACGCCAAAACAACAGGGACAAAAAACGAAGGGAGAACTAGACAGGACGGAGTAGTTCTCCCTTCGTTTTTTGTCCCTGTTGTTTTGGCGTATTACACAATGATGCAAAACCAACTAGCCCAACTATCCATCCTTACACACACTATGTCTTACGTGCGCTTCTCTTTCTATGCTCACTGCTCGCCCGAATTCGTCTCAAATCTTGCTCGTCTGACTTCCATGTAAATTGAATATTTGGGACAGTGAACCCGTAAGGGTCGTATAAAGTATTGCACCCACATAAAAAACAAAAAAAAAAAAAACAAAAAAAATCAATAATGTTTTTTTTTTTGAGAGAGAGCCATTTTGCCAAGTTTTATTTGCGTGTGAGGGGCTGCATGCTCTCTGACGGGGGGAGCGAACAGTCGACACAAGAAAAAACATCCCAATACTTATCGTAAAAAAAAAAAAATGTGTGAAGGCATTTGCAGGAAGTTATGGCATCCATCTCCTGGGACGCTGATGGCTTCCTGATGATCGATTAGCTCCACAAAGGTCAGTCAATCAATGCCGAAAAAAGCGAAGCTTTTTTCAACAGACAGTGCTGCAATGGCTGCTGTGGACGAGTGGTGTGACTCTCAAGGATCTCTTTTTTTTTTCCTCTAAGGGTTGGCGAGGCTTGAGCACATGCAGGTGGAGAAAAGCGTGGAAGTGCCACAGGACTCTCCGAAACAGTCACGAAGCTTCATCGCTGTCGGACAAAAACACCACATGTGGCGCAATACTTTTCACCCAGGCTACTTATATATGAGCGTATATGTATTTTCCGGATTACACCGGGTCATTCAAGGAGACGGCAGGCTCTTTAAATCGACCGGAAAATTCGGTTTCCTAACCTATCGCGCTACGACTTTGTGCAGCGTTGCCCACAGATGATGCTTTTTTTTTTTTTTTTTGTAAAATTTGCAAAGAGCGAACTTACCTGAGGAAAAAGTAAAGAAAGAACAAGGCTTAGCTCCTATGGAAACGCAGCGACGCCACCGGTCTTCAAACAACACGGCGCCATTTCGCATGGGACACAAGAGATGGCGCAATGAACGCCGCCAACGAACGAGCATACGGCGCCGAGAGCCAGCCTCTTCAGCAGACAATCTTTCCGACTCAAAAGCGGAGCGCGTTCCGCGGGCGGCGACAGTCGTAGAAACGAAAACAGGCACGGTAACAACAAGAAACCGCAGTTTCCTTGTCTGCTAAATACGCCGGCTCTCGGCGTCGTCTGCTCGTTCGTTGGCGGCAGTTGGCGTCGCGACCGCTTGCGCCATCTCTTGTCTCCCGTGCGAAACGGCGCCGTGTTGTTTGAAGACCGGTGACGTCGCTGCGTTTCCATAGGAGCTAAGCCTTTTTCTTTCTTTACTTTTTGCTCAGGTAAATTCGCTCTTTGCAAATTTTACAAAAAAAAAAAAGAAAAAAAAAAAAAGCGCCATCTGTGGGCAACGCTGCACAAAGTCGTAGCGCGATAGATTGAGAAACCGAATTTTGCGGTCGATTTAAAGAGCCTGCCGTCTCCTTGAATGACCCGGTAGTTCGCACCATGGTGTCTATAGTCCGTACGTTTGGAAAAACAAAGCTCTAACAAACAGCACACTTTAATAAATGTTCGTAGTAAGGCACGAAGGAGCGTACGTACCCTATATAAATCACAATAGAATTAATTTGTCATTCACAAACCTCTCGCATCTAATCATAATGAATGATATAAAAAAAAGGAAACCATTGTATAGCTTGCACCGCGTAAAATGTTCAAAAAAATTTAAAGATGTACAGTTTGCGGACTTCAGTCGTCCAAAAAACACGCTATCTGTAGTAAGTCACAGGTCAAGAAGGTAGCGGCAAATGCTCCTCAAAGGGATTCATATATCCCTCCGCCACCTCCGCATCCAACAGCGTCCCATCGTTTCCGTGACTTTGCGCCCAACGCGGGAGGAGGGCCTTGCCTTCCTGTACATATTTGCCTTATCTTCCGACTTTGACTTAGCGTTGTGGAAGCCACGAGTGGGAGACCAGAGTTTTTCCCCCTCCTATGGAAACAAATATGACTTTCGGGGGTTAGGTTCCCCCTCCGATCGATACAAATGCTGTTTTCAGGGGCTCGGTTCCCTGTCCGATGCGAAAGAAAGCGACAAAGGTCGCTTTCTTAGAATAAGACAAGTTGGATTCACTCTGTGAACAAGGGGTGTTTCCAGTGAACTCTTCTTTCGACTGCGGAGAGATTTGAAACGGGCGCATCACGCTTGTGGGAGGAGCTTCTCCTACCTTCTTGACTTGTAACCGGCTATAGACAAGGCGTTTCTTTTACAGTTTAATTCTGACATCTGGATCCATAGCCATGTAGGCGATGGATCGAGATGACTAATCAGACATTTCTTTGTACATCTTTACGTGAATAAACATTGATGGTGATGATGATATTTGTTAAGAAAATCCGTAAAAGCTACAATAATGCGGTTCACGCAGGTGAGTTATGCGGCCAGGGGGACGTAATATTGGGGAATAATCGTCGTAATAAGTCGAATAATTAGCTAGAACTGTTAATTAACTTTTTAAAAAGTGAAAATAGTTATTGGTTTCAATTAGAAACTTGCTGAGCGTAATCGAAAACCACTAAATCAGTAATTTTCAGGAAGACTTTGAGGGCGTGAAGAGCGCAGTAGTGCGCTAAAATTACCACCCGTGCAACAGGCACAAGGATGGCGTGAGAAAATGACGATGAGACGAAAAAACCGCGCGGGCGAGTTTTCGCAACGGTATAGCGTTGCTCCTGCTCCACGAGTGGTAACTTTAGCGCTCCACCGTGCTTGACTGATTTAGTTGTTTTCGTTGACGCTCGGCAAGTTTCTAATTAGAACCTATGTTTATTTTCAACTATGAAAACGTTAATTAACAAAGGATAGTTTATTCGCCGACTGATCGTTACGATGAGCCCCCTATACTATGCACCCCTGGGCATAAACCTCACTTGCACAAACTGCATTAGTGCAGCTTTCACGGCTTGCTTTTTCAACAGATCTGTTAAGCTTAAAAATGAACATCCTGTATATAAATTGCTAGAGGATACTGAAAGACGTGTAACCAATGTCTCTCTACTACATATCCAGTCCAGAGTCCTGAATGCGCAGCGCCACAATCGGCTCGTTTGGGCTTGGATTGTTTTGTGAAGTACAATGCTGTAACCAATCGTAAACGAAGTGCAAACCATGTCGCTGCTTATGTTTTTTTTTTGTTAGATCTTGGATTTTACCTGTCTTAATTTTGATTTCTTTTAGGACTCGGGCTTTTCGACGGTATTGGTTGTGACATATATGGCAAACGTGGAGCTCATATATGCCTTTAGTTGCCTTTGCATTACAGAAGTTGAAACTTAGTGCCAGTCCGTGTTGCACGTGTCTTTACCTGCATCCGTGTATACTGCGTTTTTTATTGCTCTTTGTTTAACCTAATTATTGAATATTGACCAACTGACTCTAATTCCTCCGTCCCCCCCCCCCCCCCGCCCCCCTCATGTAATAGTAATACCCTCCAAGGTGAACATTCAATAATAAATAAATAGATCACATGAATGTTTGTTTACAGCTTCGTGCGTTTAAGCTCATAATAATATACAAGGGAGATAGCAACTGGCTGGAAGTACAGGGAGTTTGCGAGAAAAAGAAACGAGTTTCTCGGCCCGGGTGATTCAACTATATGCATCGCAGAAAGCTCTTACTTCGTGAGGATGTGACGCTAGCGGTTGGTAAAAAACGCGAAAGTTTGACAACATGAAGTTACCTGGATCAAAAAAAAAAAATCGAGAACAAAAAAAATTTCTCCATGAGACCACGTGCATCTCAACCTAATTACACCAAAACAGGAAATCACACTGTAGACGCCTGTAGCATCTATTCCAGCGCAGAAAAACTTGTCACCAAGAAAGAAAACATCATCCTTTTTCTTGCTGACAAGCGTTTTCCACTAATATAAATCCCACAGCATTCTAAAAAGAAACAAGAAAAAAGAAGGGTGTAGGCATCGCACCCCTTGTCACATATAATACATCCCAAAACTTCAGTTCACGTACACTGACGTCGATCTAACGGCCCCAACCTTCACGAGAGGCTTGACGACGGTGCGATGTAACATATAAAACAGCTAAAGTATAGGGTGGTTCAAGTCACCAGGCTCGATCTAAAATGGACCGTAAAAATCGACGCCTGCACGTAGCCATCTAAACTATTCGTCAAAGGTGTATTTCACAGGTCGGTATTTTCTTGTAAAATTACAAAGCGGAGTTCTTTGTTAGTAAAAAATAGGCCCAAGAAACTTGCCAGGGTCTACGGCGGGCAGCGACGCGCACGACAGGGGTTCAGTAGCGGGGTGTGTTTGGCGTTCGTATTGATAGATGGCGTCAAGAGCAGCGTCCGAAGGCGCAGCCGACCACCGAAAGAAAGCAGACGACACGCAGACAAAATCCGTTGGCAGCAAAAGCGCCGCCGATAGGCAGACGCGTTTTTTCGCTTCAAGTTTTGTTTTTACTGTCCGCATTTATTTTTTAAC